TTTCACTTTTTGCATTGTGACGGACTAAACTCAACTCTTAATACTGCGCTCAAACGCTGCACCGTGGCAAATTACCTTTCTCCCTCTTGTCTGAGAGGAGACTCAAGCAATTGTTTATTGCTCCAGTTAGCAGCAGCTCAAATTAACCACCTGAATTTTTCATGGTTTTAAGAGAAAGCTACGGCTCGCATCCTCACCGCAATCTTAGCTCGTTTTTGCAAAGGTAACTTTACTCAGCCTAGTTGTAAACATAAATCATCCGTCGCTCTGTTCAATTTATAAAGCCTGATGGACTATATATGGCGCTATATGGGCGGTCGTAATGAAGTACGCGCTGTAGAGTCTCCAGTTTTAAATTCTCCATGAGCTCATCACCTTTTTCTACCTCCTTTATCAGTTTCTGTGAGTGTATTTTTCATCATCAAATTAATAATAAATCACTCATTTTGCTTATTCCTCATTGGGAATTCACGACTTATTTTGATTTAGACGTGACAGCTCTATGGGGTTTGGGGGGTTTTGACGATAATTTCTAGAATCAGGTTTCTGGAGTAACGTTTCACATTTTAAAAATCAGTGTTCAGGGTGACTTTTTAAATATTTATTTATTTTTCTTCTCACTAATGTCTCGTTATTTAAAAATTTAAGCCAAGTGAAGTCCAGACGTCTGTGCTCTGGACATAATCAGTGGAGATACGTATTGAACCTTAGAGGATGATTCATTTTATCTTCCTTAAATACCTGTCTCAGCATGGGATGAAATATTCTAGAGAGGTGCTCGACTCTTCAGTCACTACAGGGACAGCCCTTAAAACCAAACCACGTGACTAATTAACAGAAATAAATGAGATTAATACACCGTTTATCTCTATATCTCCACTTCAATATAGCCACCGAGTTGGTAATAACAAACACCTGGTACGCCTCAAAGTCCTAAAACTTCAACTCTTTGTATTTTCCCAAGTGTTTCCCAAAATCTGCATTAACCCCTTGCAGCACTCTGCCAGGCGTCTTTCAAAACTCTTAAAAAAAATCACAACAGCTGGGGCATGGGTAAAAAAGAAAAAAAAAAAGAAAAAAAAAAGGTGGAGTGAGACTAGGCTCTGCATCTGAATTTCTTTGTCTTCTGCAGAATGTGACATTATTAAACTCTCAGCTAAATAATGGCTTTGTGTCTCAATAAATAAACCTGCGTGTGGAATCTGGCGAGTTACAACACTTAGAGAAATTAGAAATTAAAAGTAGTATGCTAATATAGAGGGGAAATCACATGAACATAGATACTGTATCTCTGGGAATACAAACTAATTTCCGTATAACTAAGGATATTACGGTGAGTAGCAACTGAATTAATAACTAATACTTAGTGCAGGGAGTTATTAATGCGCCACTCATTCATTTGGCAATTTTGAAAGTTTAGCTCTTTTGCAATAGAACCACACAAGGCACCTGAATATTAAACAAACATGTCGCCGTTTCACCTGGACGTAAAATTAAGCACAAAACACGCGTGTGGAAAGGCTCTTAGGAACAATGTGCAACGAGTACTTGAAGATTATTTACTCGTTTCGGTACAAGTATTAATCACGCTGAGCTGATTTGGTGTTAATGTAGACGAAATACGTAATTCTGCAGCGGGTCTTTTGCAATGTCTCATTAATAAACGTCTCCTCACATCGAAACATTCGTTATTTTTTTGGTAAAGATCGTTGAGGGGGCACTTCCCGTCTTTAGCAGGTGTATGAGCACCCAGCGTATTCAGCTGCATTTTTTTTTTCTGTACAAATAGAATTAACAGCTAAAAAAAAAAAAATAATAAGGGGGAGGTGGGGGATGAAGCCATTCACACGGAAAAATCAGGAAAATGAATTGTCTTGTTTTTTCTCGGAAAACAGTCGCCAAAAAAAAAAACCAACGTGGAACTTGACGGGGTCATTTGACTTTGTTTTCGTTTAGGGATGTATTTAGAGTAACCCCGCGGTAAACTAAAACACACAAAGCAGGGCAAAACGTCCGTGCGCCCTGAAGTTGATTCCCGCGTGTTATTTGTGGTCGGCCACCTCCTTCGTATTTACGTCATAGCGTGAGGTTCTCAGCGCGGTAAAGTGCCTGTTCCCGAGATAATCCTGACATCGAGAAATTAGGGAGGGAGGCTTTTTGCTCAGCATCCAGAAAGTGGGTCACAGTGCGGGGG